AATAACTTTTAAACTAAATAAATTTAAAGTATTTAATAATAATAAAAAAAGTAATAAATTATAAAAAAAGTTTAAATTAAAAAAAAAATAATTATTTTTAATAAAGTTTTTAATAATAAAATTAAGTGCTAAGCGATTTAATTTAATAATAAAATATAAAAAAAAATTTTATTAAAAAATTTAATAAATAAAAAAATAAAAAAAAAGCTTTATTTTAAAAAAATACCTTTAAATATTTAAGTTTATTATTATATTTTTTAAGCTTGCTAATGTTAAAAAGATAAAAAAAAAACAAAAAATTAAATATATTAAAATATTTTAAAAATTTAAAGCGTTAATAAAAAACTTTTTTTATTATAGCTTAGCGTAATAGTTAAAACTTTAAAATAAAGTAGCTAAAATTAATATTTTTATAGCTAACGCGGTATAATATATTTTAGTTTAGCGCGTTTTTTACTAAAGTAAAAAGCAATTAATAAAAAAAAAAAAATCTTTAAAAAATGTTTTTATATTAAAAAAAGGTTTTATTAAATAAAATTTTATAAGTTTATTTAATTATATAAATAAAGTGTTATAAGTTTTTTTTAAAAAAGCAAATAATAAAATTTATAAAATTTAATTAAAATTTTATTATTAAACAAGTATAAAATAAATATTAATATATATAATAAAACATTAAAAAATAACTAATTTATATTTTAGTTATTTATAAAAGCACGTTAAAAAAATAGCTTAAAAAAAAACAAAATAATAAATAATAATATATAAGTTATTAGTTATAATATCGTTTAAATTAAAAATAATATAAGTAAGCTATGTTAAGCTTATAACTTATTAAAAAAAGTAAAAACAAGTACTTGCGTAATAAAATTTATAATATATTTTAAAATAATTAAAAAGGTAAAATTAACTTGTTAATAATAAAGGAAAAAAAATATATATATAAATATAAAAGTGAAATATATTTAGCTTTTTTACTTTAATAGTTATATATAATTTTAATTAAATTTATTTTAATTTATAAAAAAAAAACTATAAAATTAACATTTTCTCGCTTATATTTTAAATAAAATATATTATATAATATTTTTTATATAAATTTAAGTATATTAATAAAAATAACTTTAAAAATATAATTTTAAAGCTTAAGTATATATTATATTAATTAATATAGCTAAAGTTTTTATATAAGCTAAAATAAGTATGCTTACTTAAGTAAACAATAGTTATTTCTTTTATTTTCTCACTATTACTAATTGGACGGCCTTAAATGCAAAAGTGATAACTTATTAATAGCAGTTAGTAATTATATAGCATGTCGCCGAACTGCATAATAGGCAGCAGTACTTCGTGGAAGTATATCTATTGAGCGTGTTCCTCGGTTTCCATCGGGGTATTGCCTACTTACCTAGGTACCTGTGGCGGTATTGGAAACTGGCTAGGCCTTAGGTACTTTTAGCACCTATTAGGTAGGTAGGTACTCGGGTAGGTAGGTACTTACCTATGGTTCTTATAGTGGTCTCCAGTTATTTCTTTCCCGAAGACTACAGCCGTGACGACAGGATACCCACAGAATGATAGGGTAGCCCGTCGCCTCGGCCCCGCTATTCACTACCGTGTTGAGATCCCGTTCCTCTATCTTGTCCGCCTATTGATTCAAGGCTCATCGCCTCCTCATCTCACTTCACCCCCCTCTCATCGCGTCAACCGTTTTTATTTATCTGGCAACACATTAGTCTAAAAACTATCCGCGCCATGGACTCAGCCCGGTCGCATGTGCGCCGCCATCCGTCGCTTCCTTCCACCACTCTAATTCCACCACTCTAATTCCAACCAACCCCCCAGCTGGCATCATGTCGGCCAACCAACGGCCTCGTCGCACGCCATCCCTCCTGTGGGGATGCTGAGATGCATTTCCCGATTCTCTGTGCCGTGTGATTATCATCACCTGTAATCTTAGTCCTTCGTGTAATTGACGCTGTGAACCGACGATGTTTCGGGTCCGGGCATCCGAATTTCTCTCAAATCTCAAATTGCCTACTATAATTATCTCATAACCTCCTCTTTTAACTTCTCTGTATTATCTATTTAATTGAAACGTTTAATAATCGACTACCTTTGTCTCACTTCTCTTTGAATTAAGATTTAAGCTAACTCGGGTCACGATCCTACTCACATTCACGTGCTGTGGCTGACCCCTCATTCGCCTCGTCGTTCCTACGTATATAAGCAGTACCAATTTCACAATGGAGGATCGTCCGTCGAATTCAGATCCCCAATATTATGACATAGGTAACCAAAATACCTTCTCTCACATGAATCAAGACTGACTCTTGCCCAGTGATTGTGGGGGCAGGGCCTGTTGGCCTCATGCTGTCGACATGTCTAGCGAGGCTCGGCTATAGCATCAAACATGTCGACAACCGGTCTGAGCCCACACCAACAGGGCGTGCCGACGGCATACAGCCTCGATCCCTAGACTTATTAAGGAACATGGGATTGAAGTCAGCTATCATGAAGCACAAGCCCGCGAGAGTGTACGAAGTAGCCTTCTGGGATCCGGGTGAGACAGGCAAAGGCGTCGTACGAACAGGCACCTGGGCCAGTTGCCCAGCGTTCATCGATGCGAGATATCCTTTCACTACTCTCTTACACCAAGGCCTCATCGAGCGCGTTTTCATCTCAGACCTAGAAAAGAACGGCGTCAAAATCCAACGGCCGTGGCGTATTAGCGGTTTTAAGTCCGACGAGAAAGAGAACCCTGAATACCCGGTCGAGGTCAGCCTTGAGCATATAGATGGGACGAGCAGAGAAACAGTTCGCGCTAAATATCTGTTCGGCGGCGAGGGTGCTCGGTCTTTCGTTCGAGAGCAACTGGGTATTGGCATCACACACAAAGATCCCATAGCTCACGTCTGGGGCGTCATGGATGGTGTGGTTAAGACGGATTTCCCCGATATCAGGGTTTGTCTATCCACGGTTGGTGCGGTAGATTTGGCGCTAACTTGGCCTATCAGATGAAATGTACGATACATTCGGAGCACGGGTCGATCATGGTGATTCCTCGCGAAAACAACATGGTCCGGCTATACATCCAGTTAGCGTCGTCCACAGACCCAGACTGGAACCCACGCAAGACGGCTACGCCTGAGGAAGTACAGGCCTCGGCAAAGAGGATACTTCAACCGTATTCCATTGAGTGGGAGAGGCTGGAATGGTACTCTGTCTATCCAATCGGCCAGGGCATCTCTGATAAATACACCCTTGATCACCGAGTGTTCCTCGGGGGAGATGCATGCCATACACACAGCGTAAGCTTTTTCTTTATACTGTTCCCTTTTCTTTCTCTTTTATTAGACCAATGAGGAGCAGCTACTGACAACTTTACAGCCTAAAGCTGGCCAAGGTATGAACACAGCATTCTTGGATGCTCAAAATTTGGCTTGGAAAATACATGCAGTAGAGGCAGGATTTGCCGAGCGATCCCTTTTAACGACGTATGAGCCTGAGCGTAAGGAGGTAGCAGAAAATCTACTCTCTTTCGACAACAAGTATGCCAAGCTGTTCTCGCAGCGACCACCGGCTGCTACAGAGGTCCAGGCAGCTTCGAGGCATACGAACGGCCATTCAGAAGACAACGAGTTTATCAAAACTTTCAAGGAAGCATGCGAGTTCACGAGCGGCTATGGAGTGGCGTACGGACCTAATGCGCTGAACTGGTCACCCAGTCATCCGGCTCAATCTCGTCTAATCCATCCCAAAGGCACCAAACTGCGAACTGGTCGTCTAATGGCCAACGCCGATGTCACAAGAGTGGTCGATGCCAACATCGTTCACCTAGAACAAGAGATCCCTTGGAACGGATCATTCCGCATCTACATTTTTGCTGGCAAACCCTCAACAACCTCTAAAGCCCTGAAAGATCTCGCCTTCCAACTAGGCGGGAAGCGATCGTTCTTCGGGTCATACCTACGTACAGATGTCGATACTGTCTCTCACCATGAGAGATACAACCCGCATAGTCTATTCTTTACCATCTGTACTATATTCGCCGCCGCGCGGAACGAGATCGAGATCTCGCGAGACCTCCCGGGGCTACTTAGCAGGTACCGAGACCTTGTCTATGCAGACGATAGATGGGACCGCCGGGTTCCGAATGCGGTAGCAGCGGCACATGCTAAAATGGGCCTCGATGAAGAGAAAGGTGGCGTGGTTGTGGTGAGACCTGATGGTTACGTGGGTATTGTTACTAGCTTAGTGGAGGGCGGAGGAACTATCGACGCACTAAACGCCTACTTTAATGCCTTTTGCACGAAAAAGACGAGCGACAACAAAGCGCAGCTATGAGATCCTCATTGGATACTCTGAAGCATCACAACATATAATTGCTTCATCCGGATCTCAGCGCATTGATTTTTGCATAGCCGAAGAGATTGTTGCCAGCTTTCCCGCAATGGCGTTGACCATAATCTATACCCATAGTTGACTATTTCTTAATACTATTTATTACCAAATCGCCGAATGATCACCGCTTCTGAATTCTAATCGTGACCTCATTTTATGCCTGTCTCAAGAAGAACATGACCCTTTCCGACAGGTTGACGAAACTATATAGTTACAGTGTCAATACAAACCACTCGTCCCTATAACACACCCGCGGGAAATACACAATCTGTCTCACGTCCTCGTCATCAGGAAGGTTGTGATCGCTTTGAAATCCGTAACCCTCTCCGTCAACGACCGCGAGCGGGAGTATTTGCTTGCACCTAAACTATGAGCTAGGTGGCTCACCAGTGCATGAGTTATTTTCTCTCTTTGTCTAGTGGCTTTTCGGACCCTCTTAACTCCAGTTTTTTCTTTCCCCAACGAGTCATACTACAGAGACTCAGAATAGAGACCAAGCTAAATCATTCCGGCCTCGTAAAATGCCTCGTGAAATCTTTACTAGTTTCCCACTCTTACTTAACAAATTTTACCAGTGCCGACCACCATCAAGCAATGGCCTCGTGGCCCAATGGCAAGGCGTCTGACTACGATGATTCGATTCTCAAGCATTGAGCTCGATTCACGGTTATCAGGAGATTGTCGGTTCGATCCCGGCCGAGGTCATCACGGAAGCTCGTAATTTTTTCGTTGTATTCCATTTTTATAATTTTTTTTTTGCTCGATATGGTTTGTTTGCGTTTGTGGGAATCGCTTGGTTGGAAATTATAAGTGCGAGTCACGTGAGGAATCGAAAGACCGTGATGACATGCCGCTCCAACGCGATATCTGTGAAAAGAAGACTTATTTCAATGGTGAGGAGGATTTTCAAGAAGAGGATAAGAAACGTGAATATGCACTCGTGTTTAGTTGAGGCTAAATATCACAGGGGGTGGAGAGATAACTCAATATGAGAAAATGAATTCCATAGTCACATAGACCTGTGAATATCTAGAAGTCGCTCATCGCTTCCTAGGGACCAGTCTATATTTACAGGATTCCCTTCGGCCTTAAACCCTTCTTCTCGGCGTATAGCTCAATGTCTCGAAAGTCGGAATAGCTTCATTTATCTCACACGCGAAACCTATGCAATACGGCTTCATACGTGGTGAGACGAGGGTAGAAAGATGTGCCGTGTCGTTACTCCCGGTCGAAAATCACATGACGGTCGTGTTTCCGGACCCGTGTAAGCTGTGGGTACCTACCGACAGCGCCCACACTGGAATAGATACGCAGTACTCCTGGAAGGTAGTTACCTAGGCGCAACCTAAAGTGGTGTGAAAATACGAATACGACAGGCTAGTGCATTCACGGAGCCTAGCATAAGTGAGTGACATCTTGTATGAGTATGGGCCTCGTATAACACTGATTATCGTACACGAGCTCAGTTTATGATAGCCACGGTTGGCAAATATGCTCGAAATTGAGCGAGCGAGGAGGGTTTTAGTTCTTCGATACTTCTACTTCAGGCGTCTACGTCTACAATTTGATTTAACAATACGCCTCATTAGATAAGGAGCTTTGGGCAAATTTACTGATGATAGTATATGTAGATAATCAAAATACACACTAATATAAACCAGGTATTGTATAGGAAGCTACTGTTAGTTCAATGTATCTATATCGTTGTTATAAAGCCACTTCTTATAGCACTTATCCTTGTGTGCTGTTAAGAGGTAATGAAAATCGCGTACCTAGGTAAGAGGTTATTTAATATATGTAACTTGTGCACTTTATACTATCAAAGCACTACTCTGTGACTGCACAAATCATTGGGAGTTGAAAAAATTCCCAGAGGTTGAGCGACAATATTTGAGTTTTGGTGAGATCCTAGTGAATGCCTATGACTCCCAGTTCACTTCCTCGACCTATCATGCCCTCCTCAGTACCGAACAATATATTAAAAGAGGGTTCTAGAAGTATTATTTGGTATTCTAGATTAAAATTTTATTGTGCCGTTCAAGGAACATTAATAATAGGAGTAACATTGCCCCTCTCTTACCTCTCGTGAACGACATGTACTTGACGGTTGATGATTGTTTCTAATCTTTAATATATCTTAATTACTACACTCTATCCTACTCCAAATCGTTCCTATTTTTGGAAGTCACGTATTTCTTTCCTTTGTTGAGTTTTAAATTGCTTCGGTCGAGACTTTCTTGACATCACATCCACCTTCCAACTACGAGAAGTGAGCTCAGTCTCTACTGGTGACAGTCACGTGAAATAAGACACTTACACTTTGTGTAAAGGTGGTTTGGTTTCCAATGGTGCGCCACATTGCGCGGCCCCGTATCGACGAAGATATATCTCGGCATATTCTATCTTCTTCGCAAGGTCAGGTGCAGCACCATTGAGCAGTTAGGATTGCTCAGTCATCTGGTTTTGTGGCTGGCTGGAGTTTCAGTGCATCAAATTAAATATCACGGTAACAAGGCCCATGAAACCTACGGCAAGTTCCTCTATAGTGTCTCTGGATTTTGATATCCAATAACATGTCTAGCTCGGCTGCAAATTAAATAGTTCTATTGATTAAGTTTGACTAACAAAGTAGTAGAGACGTTTAGAATTCCCACCTTCTTCGCTCATACATCGATAATATGCTTGAGGAGTAGGTGTGTGAAAGGCACCATATGTTGTAGTCGATGTTTCGTTCATATCATGTTGTCCAGAAAGTTTCAGATAATTTATTGAATATTACATCAGTTTCTCGGTATGCATGTGGGCATTGTTTGGTTCCTATCAAGAGAGCCTTCTAGACAGGTAGCCTTCAACACTGGCTACAAATCTCTGTTACGAGATACGACAATAGGAAATTGTTAATTTTCCAACGCTTTGATAAGGAGCCTGACATTCGGGGCTATGGAAGGGTTGGTATGGAAGTTGACAGTAGCTGACCATACACCCCTGCTTGAAACGGCGCGGTATCTGCTCGAGCCCCAGGCGGAGCATTCGGCAAGGCAGCCTGGCGTAAGGACTTCGTATGAGTTACTTTCTGTAGGCTGAGTGATTTTACAAACAAGGCAGCAATATTAACATGCAGCCATCAGAATATTCGGTAGTTCATTCGGGCGTAGATTAATTGCCGGGAGGCGCAAGTCCTACTGTAACTTAAGTCAGCCGAATCCAGATTTTCTCTTTAAGGAAGCTTGAAGCTGAGAATAGATACATTGTCTTGGAGGTAGTCATCAGGCTTCTCATCATCTATTGCATGTCTCCTACTTGATTGTAATCGTGTGATAAGATTATACATATTATGCTTGCCTAGTTGAATGCCGAATTAATCCTGTCGCTACCAAGCTGCAATGCGTAGTTCTCCGCTAATATATTCTTAGATTTCCTCTCGGCACTTTATTTCAACCAGTAGTTAGAGAGAGGCGAAGGTAACAACACGTGTGGCGCGGGTTGGATAATTTGCCGGTTAAAGTCAATGTTGGGGTCTAGCTCGTAGTGTTAATATCGGATCTACTCGGGTACCCCTTTCCGAAGGCCACAAACCATCATTTGCCTTGATGAATTATGGGCTGAGATAATCACCAACTTTACCCGTCTCGCCCAAATTACTGCTCGATATGAATTCACGTCTCACATACATGGGCTGAATCCCGAGGCGAAACTCACGATATTGCGCAATATAGGGATTTCCGACAGTCTGGATAAGGCTGTATGTAATTCATATAAATGTTCTTCTAGAAAGCTTACTTAGTTGTCTATCTTTAGGGCTGAATTGTATAATGATCGACAGAGGCTCCGGACAGTCGTAGCTTACATATGAAGTTCAGGTTGAGACCGGTGACGAGTCCATAGACGGCCTACGTTCAACTGAGGCTTTCCAGTACCACGTTGCAATGTATGTAACATTCCAAATAAGTCCCAACCTAATTCAGAAGTTACAAAAAGGCCGTCTCATGATCTCGAATACCCAAGGCCGAACCCTTGTACCGTCATCGGAAATCAGGTAACGCAGCTTCCAGCTTCGTACGTTTGCACACCACCTGAGGAGGTATCGTGCAGCGACATGACGACGGATCGGCTGCAGCTAGTCCCTTAGAATACGCTGAGCAATCTCGTATCTATTGGGTACCAAGATTTTGACCATCTGATCGCGGTATAGCTCGGGACACACGAGAGTGCGGGAAAGACATCTGACCAGGGTACCACAAGCCTCAGCAAATTGATGCGCTCCTGGGCGTAAGATATCCCTTTGCCCTGGGTACCAGGACCACGAACATTGAAGGCCCGAATCAGGGGGGCAGTTGTATCTCCTCGTCTGACAGGTTCTAGATTTCGAAAGGGCCAGGAAACCAGGAAAATCCTGCCTTTGCTTGAAATGGGTTTCCATGTTTAGCTCTGGCGGTGACTTGGAAGGGATGGGTATAAGAACGCACAGATTTCGCCCTGTCACATCATCAATGCAACAGAGCACATCCAACAACCCGAGACTTGGAAACACCTCTAAGCAGATCCCTACTATTCTGGACTTTTAAATCAGTCAAAAATTCTCCACAATGAAGGTCTGGTCAACGTTGGCTCTGTTCACAGGCCTCTCCACCACAGCCTCGATCCTCGCCCCGGGCTCAGCGGATACTGTTCTTGAGCGTGACCAAGTGCAGAGACCGTACGCACTGGGAGAGACAATTGCCGCGGTTTCCGTTCCAGAAGATGCCCCAGCCGATTACCACACCGAGGTGACTCAGTTGCCTGCTGGTGCGTCCATTCATAAGTCGCACCGTCGTGATACCTCGCCCAACCCAAGAGGCCCAATCACTGCCAATGACTTCTTTGAGTGCGCAACCACCGTACGTAGTAACCACCCTTTAATTCGTTACATTAGTAGTTTCCTCATACGCCTGTGACAATAATTAGTAGCAGAAGCAGCTAACATACCATAAGGGCAATCCTCCAGCGGCGAGTGACTGCGAAGTTGTCATAAGCAATGTATTGGCCGCCGACCAAGGGGTGGTGATCGCTTCTGGTGCATGCCTCCTCTTCCAGTTCAACACGTGCTGGGGCTTCTTCTGCTCGCTGTGCCAGCGGCTCGGCACTACTACCGATTTCATCGGCAGCCAGTTGACCACAGCCCAGACGCTCTGCGTCAGCGGGGGTGCGGCAGGTACTGTCGTCGGCGAAGACGCACCACAGTGGGAGGCCGGTTTTGTCCATTCTAGTGGTGTGCTCCCTAATTATGCTGGCGATGTCTGCTAAAGGATATTCGGAGGCTGTATCATTGAAGTGGCCTGAATGAGCGGGGTGAGCAGGGATTGTACTGTCAGTTGTGACAAACGGCTGGTGAAATAGGGGGGTGACGTCATTGTTATTATTCAGAGATTAGTACAGATTGTGTTGTTGTATATATCTCTTTATAATATGTTGATACACGCAATTTCGTTTTCTATCTACAGAGATAGATATTTTCAGAGAAGCTAAGAGCACGTCCTTGGAAAATAGATAGAGTGATGTCTTATAAAGTAGTGTTGTGCTCATATTCTAAATTTCTAATATCTTCAAGTCAACGTACCTATTGCGGTACTTAGAGCTGCGCCCATTCATGCAGTAGCTAGAGACCATGCATGTAAAATAATGGCTGTAAGGTAGTTAACAATTTTATGACCATACCGAATACAGCA